TGTCTGGCCAGATCAGAGTCTTACATTGGTGGAGACTGCTACATTGTTTCTGGGTCCAGGGATGCTACTCTGCTGCTGTGGTACTGGAGTGGGCGGCATCATTTCATTGGTGACAACCCTAATAATGGTGACYATCCATCCCCACGTGCAGTTTTGACTGGTCATGACCAAGAAGTGGCATGTGTGTCAGTCTGTGCAGAACTGGGCCTAGTTATCAGTGGAGCCAAAGAGGGTCCATGTTTGGTCCACACCATAACAGGGGACCTGCTGCGGGTTTTGGAGGGACCAGATAACAATCAGTGTCCACGACTCATCACAGTGTCCAGCAAAGGTCACTGCATCATTTACTATGAGAGGGGCCGCTTCTGCAACTTCAGTATTAATGGAAAGCTTCTGGCACAAATGAAGATTAATGATTCAGCCAGGGCAATTCTTCTGAGCAGCGATGGGCACAACCTGGTGACAGGTGGAGATGATGGCATTGTGGAGGTGTGGCAGGTTTGTGACTTCAGAAAGCTCTACATTTATACAGGCTKTGATGCAGGCATTCGAGCCATGGACATCTCCCATGATCAACGGACTTTAATCACAGGCATGGCCTCTGGCAGTATTGTGGCATTTAACATAGATTTCAACCGATGGCACTACGAACACCAAAAACAGGTACTGATGAGTAAAATACCTTCAGAAAGATTTGGAAAGTTAAAAGATCAAAATGTGACAAAACTGGACAGCAGAAGATAAAAAGAGCATAGAAGAGGCCAAGAATACAGGAGAAATTCAGCAAGACAGAAAATTTGACGTCCTTATATTTGTTCATCTGATCTCTTGGGTAAACATGTTGCTTTTTCTCTGTTCCTGATCAGACTGGACACATAGTTGGTTTTCACATCTTACATGAAAAACCAACCAAGTTTTCAGTTGACTTAAGAAAMACTATTCTTCTGGGGAAAAAAAGGAGAGAGAGACTGAGAAAGTAACAATTGCTGATAATAAACACTAAATGTTTTCCTTTCAAACTGTGAACAAAAACATTGCAAAATAAACCTCTGTTAGGAACATTTGCACATTTGTTCAACTTATTTTTGGAATACTTTTTTGTCCAAAAGATTATCTGTGAGTAAAGACAGTATTAGATTTTTTATTTTATTTTTACTGCATAAGCTAAAAAAAATCAAAATGGTGTTTGACATATCACTGTTTTATAATGCAAGCCATGAATAAATGTTGAAGATGTCTTTAGTTAGATAGTTGTTGGATAGTTACATGTACAAGACCATTGTCTGCACTTATACAGTGGTTAAATGTATGTTTGTAAAAACAAATGTCCATGTTTGTTGTTTATTAAAATGAAAGAAGTCAAACTTAGCGTGATTGTCCTTTGTGATAAGTGTTTTTGATATGTCAACAGTTAATTGATATTTCCATTTTTAATTTAAATTTTAAACTGTTAACCATCAAACAACTACTTTAAAAAAGAAATGTAT